GATGGTTTAAGAAGAAGTTTATTTAATCAGGAAAAGCAAGTAATCTGGAGAGGAATGGGATGTATTGTCCTGAAAGAGCCAGGAACAATGCAGAGGGTTCTGTGTTGTGGACTTTTAAAGAGTTTTGTGAATGTTTTCAAGGAGGGAGGCATATTCATAGAGTAAAGTAGCCACTTTTCTCTTTCACCTTATGGAGAACCTAATCTCCTCATTAGGATATCTCTTCCCATTATCTTCAAGAAAGACCCACAAAGGAGTAGAAGGGTAAATACCATACCATAATGCAAATGGTGTTTTAAAAAGTCAAGACCTCATGCTAATGGGGAATAATGAAGACCTGCCCTGGAATCTTAGTTTCTGATACGGTGAAAAGGATACTGTCAGGAGACACAGCTCTTAAGATATAGCTACAATTTTCCTTTACCTCAGATTCAACTAAGCTCCATTCCTACCTGGTATAACATAAAATGTGGTACATCTTCTTCCTCATGTTTATTTTTATGACAGGTCTTATTACATATACTTAGCTTGCTTGCCTTCATGGAGACCCACCTACCTCTGCTTCCTGAGTGCTGAGCTCCAAGGCATAGGCCACCATACACCTATTTTAAACTTATTAATTATAGAAAAGTTTCCTTTGTTATACTCCTCTAGACTTTTTCCAAATAAGACAGGTGAATGGATAATTTTTGTGCATCCCAAGAAAACAATCTAGCTGGAATTTACAGTGACTTAATCTTTATAGAATCTGAAAAAAACAACCTCATGTACTTTGTTGCTACCTACAGATAACCATGAGCCACTGTCCTGTGTTATTCATTACTTTCTATCATTAGCATTCATGGCCAAATCTTTCCAGTGGCTTGTGGTTCCCCCAAGAGTTACCATTCACTCACCAAGTAGTCTCTTATTCACTAACTGTAGTCACATTCACAGTATAGAAACGTACCATATGGCCTCATTACCATCTGTCTTAACAAATGAATCTAGTTTAGATTCTGGAATTTGGGGTTGGGGTTGGTTTTGATTTTGTTTTGAGATTTTTGTTGGTTTGGTTTTATGGAGATTTGTTTGTTTGGTTGGTTGGTTGGTTGGTTGGTTGGTTGGGTTGGTTTGTGTGTTTGTTTTAAGAAAGTTAAATGTACATTTTTAAAAGATAGACTGGTTAGCAATTTCCAGGTAAGACCTGGCACATTATATAGTGTGGCAGGGTCAGAAAGAGGGTGTGACAGATATAGCAAATGATGTCATCATTGGTGTAGTGTTCCAGCCACATGAAAACCAGGTCAGACCCAACCTGACTGTGTCCTCCCCCTACACAGCAACTGGAGCCTCTTACATATGCTTTCGGTCCATTCCTGCTGTGACATCCTTTAAATTGGAGATTTTGTCAGGTGTGATATGCTTCTTTCTTGGTCAAATGCAAACTACATATTTTAGCTAGCTACTCCTTTCTGCCTAGCAGTTTTAAACTGTGAATAATATCTAAGATATACTCATCCAGAAGCAGGCACAGTTAAACCAACATGTTTGGGCTGCTAATCTTCTGCTTTTAGCATCTTCCATTTGCAAACGAACTGGGAGCAAAAGTGTGGCATCCAGCACTATGCTGAGATGATACTTCATTTCAGTTCACGCTATTCTATTATCACCTTCAGAGCAAAAGGAGCCTGGGGCCTCATAAAACAATACTGGGCATTAACCACTGTAAGAGAACAGCTCGGCTGGGTGTTCACTGACCAGAGTGTTCCCTCCCAGAAGAAAGCAGAAACCAAACTTTCCATTTTTCCACAAGCTAGAGCCTTCCTCCAGATCACTTCACTGAAGCTTTAAGCTTCAGGATTTCCAAAAATTTGACTGACAGAAGTAAGTGCCCCATGCCCCCATATTGATGTCATTTGTTTCTAATATTAGCAGCGGAGCATTCCGGGTTCACCTGGGAAAGAGGAGCTTTTATTTTTGAGTCGAACAAGAACAGATACTAAAAATGAACATGGTGAGACTTCCTTCTGGCGTATCTGACACAGATAAAATAGGGAAGCCTGTGCTGCAAGACTATTTTGGATCAAATGAGAAAGGGATTCAAGGTAGTTGGAAATCCAGTATACTTTAGTTCACCCTCTGTCCCCTTGCCCATGACTTCTGAGGAATTAAGAAATAAAATGAAACCTTATACATAATGTCACAAAAGATTATGATATGCTTGTGAAAAGTCTCCCTGGGTAACAGAATGGATCCAGGTGATGTGTTACAGTTCAACATGAGTGATGCACTTGGTTGTTAAATGATGTAGCCATATGCATAAAGAACTAAATGGTATGTTTGAGGCTCATGGAAAACTCTCACATGTGCCAAGTATTTAGGCTTCTGTCATCTAGGAGAGTTTAAATGGGTCAGAGTAGCTGGCTACTACCATGTTTCTGACTCACATTGATGGGCAGGGTCAGGAAGAGGATGCTGGGCCACTTGGCATAACTGCTGTAGTGTGGGATCTCATGCCCTGGATGAAAGGTGGTTTCTTCCATCTTCTCCATCTGTAAAGTAAGTAGCATAGTCATGTATCAAGAGTGATTCATTTATGTGGTACACATCTTGAAAAGACAGTAAGGGCAATAAGTGAAAAGATTCAGAAACCTCCGAAGTATAGAAAACGCCTTTCACTTTAAAATGACCATGTAAGTTTAGTAACCATTCTCTTTAGACAAATAAAATATTTAGAGAATGTAATAGAAACTAAAGAGTTGAAAGAAACAAAAGCACTAAGGTTCAGGTAGGGCCTGTAATCACTCAGTGTCTGGAATTGAACTTTCCTTTCATTCCACATTTTTCTAAGACATTGATTTTCAGAACGGTTGCCCTCTCTGTAGTAGCAATGGTAAGGGAACAGGCTTGCTTTTAGGCACTTAGTTTTTGCTGATGGCTCTCTAGTCCAGTCTTCCATCCTGACTGATCATTTATCATCTTACATCATAGGGAAACTAGGACAGCTTAGACAGCGTCCAGTCACACCAACTTACTGTTTTTTGATTGGGTCAAAGAAGTCTGATATGTACAGGCTTAGCCTTAAAGCTGCCTTGTTTTGCTTTGCATTGTTGGTTGTTGTTGTCATTGTGTTTGTTCTGTGCTGTTACTCCTCCATATTATTCACAATATCACTAAATGGTGTCAAAGTCCACAGGAGGCCTTGTTTAAATTTGTTTCCTCATGAAAAGATCAGAATGTTCATGCCTTGTTCCCAAAGATTGCTGTGACAGGTCACATACCACTGAGCTGTAATAGCATGTTAGGCTCTACCTCATTCCTCTTTGGGACTCTGAGTTCTTTCAAGGTAGAGAGCTGTGCCTTGTTTCCCTCTGTGTCCCAAAGCTTGTCTGGAACAATAGTGACCTCTCACTAAATATTTACTTATTCATCAGCATTGAATAGCTTACCTGGGAGACTCAGGTACTAACTCACATTTTACTTGTTTTATTTCACCTTGGATGTAGTAGTTTTTATTCCCCCTATTAAGCTATTTTTTCTCTAGATTCCCATTTTTGGAAAGAAGCAGACTTTCTGACTACAAAGGAAAATCTTCCATGGTACATCTAATGATTTCTGAAAACTCAAAGAACAACATCTCAGGAAAAATTTTTCCTGAAAGATACCCAATTACTTTTTCCCTATCTGGTAGTTCAAAACATGTTTCATGTGTATTTGTATGCAAGTTTCTTTCCAGTTACAAATATCTAGTTAATGTGGGGAGACTCAGCACCCCATCTGTTAGAGGTCAGCAGGCAGAAGGCACCTAACTCCCCGTATCGGCTTTCTATACAACATTATCGTAGTTACTCGAATTCCATTCACATAGAGATGATGCTAAATGAATGCCACAGGTACCAACATCCCAACCTACTAATGAATAAATCAGACCTCAGAAAGCATCTTCCTAAGGTCACTCTAAGGTTACACTAAGGGGACAGTGAGTCAGTTCTGCATTATAAGTATTTGACATGTGTCACTTAGGTGACATTTTATAGACAATAAAAGAGAAAAAAGTCACAGTGTAAAATGAAATTCCTGATTACAAACTCTGGATAAACCAAAGTAGACACAGTGAGGAGAGCAAACTGGTAAAGTGGTCAGTGTGTCACTCTGTAGCAAAAGTGGGGAGGGGACTGTACAGCATGTGGGCAGAGTAGGGGATAATTCCCACCCCCAGGTTGTGATTATTCTGGTGTTGGCTCCTCAGTTTGATCTGCACACTAGTTCTATGATACATTTGCCTGCTGAGAATTCTGTGTCTTCTCTGAGAAGTATTAATGAGAGGACAGAAATGGGTTGGTTCTGGATTTCCATAAAGACTGTAGGTAAATGAATGAACTTCTGGTTCCAATGCTCCACAAATTATAAACCTACATGCCTTTTACTTGATGAACTTTGAGTGATGAAAGCAGAAAAAAAAATATTGAGGAAGAAAATAATACTCCTTCTTTAAAGGGTTATCTGAACTTCCTGTGATAATTTTATGCAACCTTGTATAAAAGTATACTATAGTAAACACAGTTTTATGTGTGTTCTTTGTATGGATGCAATATTCTATTTTAGAAGTCAGTTAGTAAGTCAACATTTATTAAGCGCCTACTCTGTATCATGTTTGTGATGAATCATTGACAGCTGATGAGTGAAAAAGGTAAATTCCATTGCTGTGGGAAAACTCACATTCTAGAAGGAAAGAGCGTGACAGTAAATGTAGAATCAAATTGATAAAGACAACTTAAAATTGAAAAGCTTCATTTGTGGGGTACGTTTTGTTCCTAGGCTAAGCCTGAGATTTTTGACTTTCTCAATTTCAAAGTAAAATAGCAATGAAAAACAAAATAGTGATGAAAGAACTTCCCAATGCACTGGTGGACACTCTCCTGCCTTAGTTCTTGCCAAGAAAGATAATGTTCAGGGTTAGGTGTGTGCTGCTTCACTTGTGCAAGTGGTGATCATATGTTGCTTTCTTTTTGTTTTAGGAATCTTGGGAAATCAGGACTCAGAGTTTCGTGCTTGGGTCTTGGTAAGTACATGGGGTGTTATGGGGACAGTGAGTGGGAAGGCATGAGGCTAAGAAGATACAAGAGAATGGTGTGATGTAGGTCAGGTTTCTCTCTCAGGAGGAGACTGTCCAGCTTTGCCCCCACTTCCCCTCTGAGGAATGCTTTCCTTGTCCATCTCCCTGTCTAGGCCCAAGGACCCTTTGTATCCATGGGATCGTCTACCTCAAGCAGAGAGCAGTCTTAGAGGACAAGGGCCATGTACCTCTCCTACTTATCTGGTGTGCAATATGTAAATATACACTTATATGCTCACTTCACCTTGCCTTCAGTTTACCTGCAATTTTCTATCTATCCTAACTTTTCCTTTGACTAATTTCTTCACTTATTTTTCTGATATTGCTATATATATTTTATGTGCTTTTAAAAATCACTTCAAATTCTTGGGCACACACAAAGTGTTTTCAATGGATGGAATCATACTATAGGAGATGATCCTCTAGACATTTCTGTGAGGCAGTATCTTGATTATGCTAGTTGATATGGGAAGACCCATCTTAATTGTAGATGGAACTATTCCTCGGAAGCAGGTCCTGGACTGAACCAAATGGAGGTGGGAATGCCCTTTGGGGTGGAAATGTTTATTCCCTGTCATGATATGGAGCTGTGGCACAGCCTCTCACACTATGTCTGAAGTCAGGAAGAAGAGAGAGAGATGTATGCTCATGTTACCAGGAGCTTGCCAGAGATTCCCATTCAGACACAGTGCATGGCCAGTTAAAAGTATTCCAGCAGACTGGAACTACATCCAAGGGTTCAGGGACCTGGGTGTGGTCCTCAGTATCCAGAACACTGTTTTTAAAGGGCAAATACCACCTCATCAGCTGTGGGGGAGGTGAGGGGGGCTTCACACAGTCAGCAGTTTGAACAGAAGTTAAGATAATTGGCTATCCAGATGGAGGGGTTTTCCGAACAAGCAGGCAGCCAAGATCAACCATTAGCTGGAGGAGGATCCAAACAAACAAGCAGTTTTAACAAAGGCTAAGATAAGTCAGCTAGGACATCCAAACCTTTGGTTCCTAGAACAGAGTTGGGTAATTTTCCATGGAATTCTCCACTAAGGAGATCAGATTCTAGTTTAACCTGAAATGGCCTAGCAAAAATACAAGAAGGAGGAACCTCTCTGCACCATCCTCATTGTCATCTCATCCCCCTTCCCCCATCCCTATCCCTGTCCCCGTGTCCTCCACCCCCCCCCACCCATCCCATCCTCCCTCATACCAGCACTCAGTTCAGTTTCTTCCTATTCACACACACTCAGGGTGAGTGTTCACTTTTCAATTAAATTTCTCTAGAAATGTTCTCTCAAATACACCAGATGATGTCTCATGTGACTCTCAATCTAGTCAAGTTGACATTGAAGATTAATCATCACAAGTCTACACCTTGTCAGTTTGGCATCCCAAACATCAATCTTACCTATACCTTCCAACCTCTTCCTGAATGTCTCCCTCCTCCATGGCCGTCCCACAGTGCAAAGAGAGTTCAGCTGCAATACTCCCCCTGATCTTAACAATTCCACCATTGTTCAAAAGTTCAAAGTTCCTGGTAAGATCCAGAGTAGTCTCTTAACTGTGATCCCTCGTAAAGAACTAAAAAAAAAAAAAAGAAAGAAAGAAAGAAAGAAAGAAAGAAAGAAAGAAAGAAAGAAAGAAAGAAAATAATTCTTAGCACAGAATAAAGATTCCATTCCAGAAGAGAGAAATGGTGTCAAAGCAAGGAAAAGGTGGGCTAAACCAAGACTAAAAGCCAACTGGAAAACACTAAATACTGCATCTCCATAGAGCAAGATCTCAGATATAGGTTCAAGAGGGGCATTGAGATGGGTTGTTAGGAGCAAGGAGTTTTCAGCATTATCAACTCCTGGACAGTCAGGTGGACAGCAGCATGGTTGGAGCTCTGAGGGGGTTGAGGTCTCAAAACCAGAGACAAGCAGCAAAGCAAGAATAAGTATCTCGTTTTACAGCTCTCTGAGGAAAAGGGTGATTCCCAGCAGGAGCCAGGCTATCTGATTCCCAGGCAAGAGGCATGAAAGCCAGTGGGGAACAGGATGTGTACCCACTAACACCCCCTTTCATGTAAACTTGTTTCCCCTATGAGAAATCCTGACACGCAGAGGTGCTAGCTAGAGATTCACAGAAAGTCATCTCAACAGAATTCCTGTCAGACAGGGAAAGGGCTGCTTCTGTTACTGTAGTCTAAGAGGTCTGGCATCTAATGCATGCTTACATGTAGCTGGCACCTGGGATGGATGATGGAATCATCTGGACCTCAGCGGCCTTGGGTAGCCCTGTCATTCTAGTGCTGCCACCTGTAGCACATGAGAGACATCTCACACATCAGCTTGAAGCCTTTCTCCTGGTGTACCATCAACATCCCAGGTTCTAGCTTTGAAATTTTTACGCAGAAGCCTCCAAGGTTTTCCTTGGAGGGAATCTGAATCTGCCACTTGATGCTCAATCTTAGAGTCTTTCTAGAAGTCTGTTGCAGGCCTCCATAATCCTGTAACTGCTGCAAATTGCATGTCTGCAAAATTCAGCAGCATCTAGAAGGCATTGCCAAGTTCTGTGCTGGTTAGAGATACAGTCTTACCCTTGTCTAACTCAGCCATAGCCACTGAACCAGGAAAAATACTTTCCTAAGGAGTTGGTTTAGGGTTGGAAATCCCTTCAGGAGAATTCTCAGCTTCAGGCTCTCTCCTTTCAAATGAATTTGTCTTTTCATGTGAAGGAACCTTTACAAGATACCCTGAGTTCTAGTCCTGGGGAAGAGCTCAAGGTTTGTCTTTAATCGTGCTGATCTCTGGGACCATTATAGTGGCTTGCTCTCACTGGCCTTGCCTGCGACTTTAAACTCATTCACATTCTTTTCCTTGCTAAACTGCACATTTTCCCACATTTTTCTGTTCTCTGTCACTGTAGATGTGACTATTAATAATGAGTAGTAACCCTACCACAGATGTAATGATGTCATGAAATTTCCCCCACCAGTTAAGTTCATAACTTCCTTTTCCTTTTCCTTTTCCTTTTCCTTTTCCTTTTCCTTTTCCTTTTC